GCAGGAGCGCGGCTGGCGGGCCAGCGACCAGCTCACTTCTGCCCCACAGCTGGCGGCTTCGCCGTGTTGGCCCAGCCCCGCGGGCCCCCCTGTGAAGTAAAGATTCGCGGGAACTTGGGTGAGACCCACGCGCGCCCGTGGGAGCGGGGCCTTGCAGGGGCGCAGGGCCCCAAAGCCTCTGCATCCGCGCCGCCTGAGCCGCGCTGCGCGGTGGGAGCTTCGTGGTTGGGGAGTTTTTTGGCCTCTTGTTTACTCACGAGTTTGAGTTTGAAGACGAAAGGAGGTGCCAGTTCCCAGGCTGCGGGGAACTGCCAGCTTGCAGGTTACCGGTTTTACCTTTCCTTGGCGGTCTTGCTGTTTGGGATGCTCTGTGCACTAAGGCTTCCAGTACCCAGCAGACAGAAAGGAAAAAGATAAAACGCCAGCACTCTTCATTTAATTCACATCTGTTACTATCCATTTGGGGTCTCTCGTGACACTTTTAATTCTAAAAGTTTATTTCTGAGACCTAGTGTTATTATTCTGGACCATTCAAGGAAACACAGACTAATTCTAGGACTGAACAGTAGTAATACTGTGAATAGGTTACCAATGACAAGTAGCTATGGTTGTTTAGCAAAGGAATTTTCCTAGAAATTAAACTTTGAAATATGACCTTGTTTTAGAAGGTGTTTTTTTTAATCCATTTAAAGTGATTTACACATTTTCATATCTTTTTATATTATACAGAACATAACTTAATAGCAAATTGCATGGGAGCCCAAAGTAGATTTAGGTCTGTATTGACCCTATGATAAGTTATCATGTCCCTAAGCTTTTTGAGTCTCTGCTCTTTATCAGGCATGGCCCCTCCCAGTCTGGCTATTTTGTTATTGCCCATAGAGGAGCACCTACCTCTTCAGGGGGCAGCAGGAGGTGGTGGGGAATTACAGTTCCTTGATTCATTATCTGTATGACCTTCAACAAGTCACTCAGCTTTCAGAATTTTAATTTTCTTATCCTTAAAATGTGGGGGGGTCTTCACCTTTAGTGAAATATAATAGTTTGTTTCCGACATTGACTTCTTTAATTTACAATTTACTGTTCTAATATTTTCCCAACAACTTTTTTAGACTTGTGTATAATGTGAAATGCTCTTACAGTGCAGAGTACATAGACTGTAGATACCAGTGTTTTTCTGTTCCTAAACCTGTTATTTCCTGGTCTGTGCTCTAGATCAGAGGTCAGGCTTGCACTCTCTTTTGGTCAGGTTTTATTGGAACATAGTCACACTCGTTTTTTTTTTAAATATTGCCCTGGGCTACTTTCACCAGCTGAATGGAGTAGCTGCCAGAGACACTGTGGTCGGCCCTTTTGAGGAAAAGTTTACTGATCCTGGCCTAGAAAACAGGGGTTTTTGGATAAGTGGCCTTCAGACAAGTTTTTCAGTTATTTACAATAGTAAGTCTATGTATTAATAAATTATTAATTTGTTCAGCTCATAGGTTTTAAGGAACAATTAAGGAATTGTGATAAATATTGTGCTTTGACTCATATTTGCCTTTTGTTGGTTTATCATTTCAAGATGATTTTTAAGATCTACTCTTACCTTGAAAGATAAACTATTTCACAGACTTACAAGAAGTTTTTAAAGCGTAAAATGTATTTGATGAAATTTTAATAAAATTTAGAGGAAAACATGAAGTATAGAGATAAAAGCTTTCAACCTTGGCTCTGACACAGTATCTGCATGACCATCAGCACGTTACTTAGCCTCATGGTGGTGGTCATTTCCTTTTCTGTGAAATGGATTCTATAAATGTTAACTGTTCTTAATGTGTTATAAAGTTGTATTAATGTTATAAAGTTGTAAAACAGCCACATTGGTCATTTCTACCGTTGTAAACTTGTTTGATTTCCAAACAGAAAGCCCTTTCATGGCAGCAAATCAATGGACTCTGGAATATCCTTGGACAATAGTTACAAAATGGATTATCCTGAAATGGGTTTATGTATAATAATCAATAATAAGAACTTTCATAAAAGTACTGGTATGTATCATAACACAATTTTTAACTCTTCCAATATTTGTACCATTTACATTTGGTATAATAGAACAAATTGTATTGATGTTATTAACCTATGACACCAAATATTCATGAAGTAGAGATAGAGCAGGACTCTCCAGGTTCTACAATACAAGTGAACTCTTAATCTTCTGCCATCGTCAGAACCTCTCCCAACAGCTAGCCTCCTACCTGAGTGTCCGCCTTCAGCCCCACTTCTCTGTGACTGGTGCTGCTTAATCCTTCTGTGCCCTCTTTTATGCTAGTGAAAGGATCACAGCAAATAGTAAGTAGTAGTACTTTTCCTTTCCTGGAACTGCAGGGTACCTCACAGGTGCTGTCTCATCTAGTTTTTACAACAACCCTAAAAAGTAACCCCTCTGAGATGCTGAAAGATTAAACTCCCTGTGGAGTCCCCCAGGTAGTTTAGTGGCAGAGCTGGCCTCAGCCTCGTGTGCTTGGCCCGGGCGCTCTGAGCCAGCCTCTGTGATGCTTCACTCCTATGTCTTCCTGCGCTCCATTGACAGACTCTGCATCTTAATGGGACCTTTCTTTTGCCCTGCTTCCTCTTCGGCTTTGATCTGATTTTTGTCTCCTTCCCCAAATTTTGAAAGCTTGTACTTTAAGCTTGCCAACTTCGCTTCCCTCCAATCCCCTTAAACCTGTTTTCACTGTTTTCCTTCTCTAACACTCTACTGGGCCTCCTTTTAGGGTCCCATGGCATGATCACCAGATCCCTTCCTCAGCCTCTACTATGTATGATTTGGATCTAATGATACCTTTCAGAATTTTTTTAGAGAATATAAAAAACAAAATTCCTCACAATCCTAAAACGCTAACATTGTGATGTGTTGCTTGACATTTTTTCCTTGACAGTTTCTTTCAAACATTAATTTTATTCATAATATGCAAGCAATATTGTATCCTGCTTGTTTCACTTAATATAAGCATTTTTTGTGTTGCCAAATAATTTTTGTATCTATTATTTTAGTGATTATATAATATTCACTTGATTTGCTTAATTAACCATAAGAATAAACCTTTTTGGCTATTTACCCAATTTTTTCATCTTTGAGTTGATGCTCTGATAATTCTTTAAATTGGCATATTAATCATATTAGAGTTAATTTTTATTTAAAGAAACTAGAGGCAGCAGATCTAATTTAGGAGACCAGAGTGGTGGTGAATATGGCAGGAAGTTAGATCACACTGCAAAGAGAAGCGGGATTTGGTGTTGGATTAGCTATAGAAGTGAGGGGAGAGCAGTGGGAAATGGATGTCTAAATCTGAATGGCACCGTTTTATTGCCTTTATTGGCTATAAATTGAGATACCACCTTTAGTTATTAGATGTTGTGCCTCATATTGCTAATAATGATTCCTCTTTCTATGGAATTTTACGATGAACCTGTGCTTTAAAAAAATTAGAGAAAGATTGTCATTCTCTAAAAAATACTTAGCCCAGTAGTCATACAGTCATCGATACCTTACACATTTAGGTTTTAGCACCTAATTGGTCATTTCTTTCTTTTTCTGATGCAGAATGTTAAGTGGTTTTTACTGTATATCTGTGCACATGCCTGACTTTAGCCTTAGTGAGCTGCTTTTCTGCTTTAAGATTTCAGGGTCAGGTTTTCACAACAATCTCTCACAGCCTGGTGGTTTCTGTTCTACCACTAAGTGCCCACAAACCAGGACCAGAATTCAGTCACCTTGTCACACAGCTGCATGTCCTTAGCCTTTCCAATGGTAAAACCTTGAGAAAATTAGCCCTGGCCAGTGTGGCTCCATTGGTTGGGCGTCATCCCAGGCACTGAAAGGTTGCAGGTTCAGTTACTGGTCAGGGCACATGCTCGGGTTGTGGGTTCAATCCCCCTGGTAGGGGGTGTGCAGAAGGTAGCCAGTTGATATTTCACTTTCACATAGATGTTTCTCTCTAAGAATCTTAAAACAAAACGTTGGAGAAATTATAAAAATAATATATACCCATAATAGAAATTTCAGAATTTACAGATTAGCCAAAGAAAAAAATTTAAAATCAATCATAATCACGCTACTCAGAAATAATATTTTGCAGATACACACATTTATTCTTTTCTCTATTCATGCACCTTAATTTTACTCAATTCTAAGGTGTATTCCCCCTAACACTAGCATTTTTAACCTGAGTGCCTGGTGGAATCAAACTTTACATTTACAGGGAAGGGACTATAGAGAAGTGATAAAAGCCTAGGACCCCCGGGAGAGGTCTGTCACTAACTTTGTTACTTTGGACAAGTTCCTGGTGTTAGATTAGCCATAGGAGTGAGGAAAGAGCAGTGCACTCCATGCCCTACATCTGTACAAATGAACCCAGTCATAGCTGTCTCATGTGGTGGGAAGGAAAAAGGAGACTTCCCATAGCAGGGTGCCGATGAACAATATTCATTGGTAGTGGTTTGTGGGTTTGTTTGTTTTTTCCTGAAAAGGCATTGTGAAAGTAGCCATGTATCTTCAAATGGTGAGGAACACAATTTCTTTGTAAAATCAAAGAAACCCAGTTCCTCTGAATGTGTGAAATGTGTGTATTGTTAGACAGATATAATTTTTTCTTAAACAAAAGTGGGATCCTACTGTTTTCTAGTCTTTTTTAAAAAATTACCGTTTCCCATGGCAAAATTTTGTCTACAAAAATTTTAATGGCAGCATGGTATTCCATTATATAAATGAATCATAACTTAGTTAACCAAGCCCCTTCTTAGGATTTTACGTTGTTTCTGTTTTCACTGTGTAGGCAGCCGTGAAAGGTGCCCTTGGGACCGGAACACGCTGCACCTGCTTACATTATGCTCCTGCGGTAGCTTACGTCACCAAGTGTGTTGTGTGCTAAGGAATTTAAAAAACTATGTCACTGTGATAATAATTGAATTTTCTTAGCATTTGAAAGGAAAGATCTATTGTTGATTGTGTGAATCATTGAATAGTTCATTTCATTTCAGAGCAGTTAATCTTTTTTAAAAAAAATACAATTCAAAGTAATTTTTTCTGTTCCAAGGAATGGCAGCTCGGTCTGGTACAGACGTAGATGCAGCAAACCTCAGGGAAACGTTCAGGAACTTAAAATACGAAGTCAGGAACAAAAATGATCTTACCTGTGAAGAAATTGTGGAATTGATGTGCAGTGGTAAGAAATAATTAAAAGAATGACCCTCATTGTCCACTGTTATCCAACGATAATTTTATTGTCCAAGGTCTAGCTGTAATCATACATACGATAATAAAATGTAAGAATCACAGAACTATACTGTCCACAATCCAACTTATATATCTTACATAAGTAAGCTAAGAGCTCTTCCTGCCAGCTCTCTGAAAGGGTTTGAGGTATGTTGCTCTGTCCCCAGTTGGGTTTAGATGATCCCTTAGTTCTAGTCTCAGATTTCTTTATCTTATCCCCATATTGTATATATGAGATTGTTGAATAAAGTTGTGTTGGTTTTTTTGTTTATTTGTTTCTCTTATTTGTAAACACTTTTCCAGTTTCTAAAGAAGACCACAGCAAAAGGAGCAGTTTCATCTGCGTGCTTCTGAGCCATGGCGAAGAAGGAATAATTTTTGGAACAAATGGACCTGTTGACCTGAGAAAATTAGCAGGTTTTTTCAGAGGAGATTATTGTAGAAGTCTAGCTGGAAAACCTAAACTTTTCATTATTCAGGTAACATATAGCTGACAACTAGGCTATTGAGGGTGCGTTGGGGATTAACTCGCTCAATTGAGGATTAGCCAAAGGATTTTCCCCTGAAGCTGCTGAACTATTGTTATCCGTTGTTCATTTTAACTACCACTAGGAGATATAGAATACATTTTCATTTTAGACTTGCATCAAAAAGATTCTGCATAATTAACATCAACTTTTACATAGCCTTTACATTTCTTATAAATCAGTTACGTGTGCACACATTTAAAAAAATAAACGTTTCATCTCTAACCTCTAGGCCTGCCGAGGAACAGAGCTGGACTGCGGTGTTGAGACCGACAGCAGTGTTGATGATGACATGGCCTGTCAGAAGATCCCAGTGGAGGCAGACTTCCTGTATGCGTACTCCACAGCGCCGGGTAAGAAAGCCGCAGGCCCTGAGTGGTATGCGGAACTTTTAAACAGTGGCGAGTGTGTTCCAGAGGCTGTCAAGATTTTGATATCCATAAAAATTAGCTAAATCATCTGTATTTTAGGGTACCTTAACCATAGAGAGGCTCAGAAAATGGTTTTTAGCCAAGTTTGGCTGGAAAATATATAAGAAAGCAACTTACACAGTGTCATTCATGAACTTAATATCAGATAGGATACTGTATTGTAATACACCCAACTCAGGGCTTCACCCACTTCTTGGAATAGGGAAGAGGTGTGTTTTCCAGGAATTCTTCGGAAGATGGGAAATAAAAAAGATAAATATGAATAGCACATGAGGGGTTAGAAGTGAAATGAGGGAAGATAAATGATACATGGCTAGGTTATTAGCCTCCACTGTTTTGCATTTGTGTTGCACATCTAGCATGTAATTAACATGAGCATACAATTGTGTATTTACAACCAACTTAGGATGTCACAGTTTGGAAATACAGGATAAATGTATTTTTAAACAGTGCTACATTTTCAAATATGCTCAATATGATTTTATTTTTAACTTCTAGGCATCTTTCCAAGTAAAGTACTTCTAAATTAAAAGTAAGGGATCCAATAGTCAGTCTGTAAAAAGTACAATAAGTACACTATTTTCCCACTGTGGACTTTAATACTCTGTAATGTGTTTATTACACTTCATTCGGATGCCCTGTAGACAAATTTAGGACACGGAGATGTGTGTACATACATGGCAGTTTATTCCTTGGATAAGCCCGTAGTCTGAGTGTAACACCGCGCTCCCCGTAACTATCCTTTTGTTTCTCTGCCTGCGTGTTCAGCTGTTCTTCCCCTTTGCGGGGGAGCCCAGGAAGCAGAACTCTCAGCAACCCAATGGTGAAGTTCATCCACACTGTTTTTTCTTGTCGAAAGCAGTGGTGTGCGCACAAGACATTTCTGTTTTTGTTTTCTTCCCCCGGCATCATTTCCTGACACTGAGTGTGTCGTCTGCTTGTTTTCTCTCTGTGGCTACTAATTCCAGCGGAAGTTCATGCTTGCTTTACCTCGATGGTTCCATATGTATAGAACCCGACACCCATGGTACTGGGCTGTGCTTTGCCTTGCAGGCTACTATTCCTGGCGGAACTCCAAGGAGGGGTCCTGGTTCATCCAGTCGCTCTGCGCCGTGCTGAAGCTGTACGCGCACAAGCTGGAGCTCATGCACATCCTTACTCGGGTCAACCGGAAGGTAGCCATGGAGTTCGAGTCTTTCTCCCACGACTCGACTTTTCATGCGAAGAAACAGATTCCCTGCATTGTGTCCATGCTCACAAAAGAACTGTATTTTTATCACTAAAGAAATGTATGATTTTTTTTTTTTTTAGTTTGTACACCAGGTGAGGAAAGTTACATTGATCCTGTACTTCCCCTCATTTAAGTCTGGTCTGGAACTCCGGCTGCTGCCTTGGACTCAGAGTCGGGTAGTTAAGAAACTGAATTGAACTGAATTAGGAACAAATAAATGGTAGTACAGTTATGAGAGAGACTGATTGTAAATGAACAACTCCCATAATTAGCAAGTTTTAGTGGCACTATGCTATGAATTTTCAAGTAATTATGGAGAAAGTTAAAATTGTAGTAATGAATTTCAGTGATACTGATGTACTCTCATTTAAGAATATACATTTTAGTTTTTGTCAGACTGTAGGAATGATGGCAGAATAATGTATGATGTTGGAATAATGTATCCTAAAATTTAGAGAGTTGTGTGCATCGTCAAAGGCGTGAAGACCTGGACTTTAGAATTGATATTTGGAGATAAATTAGCTGTTTTTAGGTCATATATCTGAGTGTGTGGCTTTGTGATGTTTATCCTGAGCATGTATTTGTTGTAAAAAAAATCATGTTTATTGAAAAAGAAACTAAATATTGTACTTGGAAGTGTGACCAATCTAAGTTGACACTTTTAAGGTTAAATGTGTCCTCACTGGAGGGAGACAGAGTTAGAACTCTAAGGTGCTATAAGGCAGCTCATCTACCAGCAGATGTATCCTGGTTTGTCCCTATGCAATCTGAAGAGCTGTTAGGTAATAACCTCAAACTGTTGATCAAACTGGTAGCATCATGAATTGAAATTCCATGGGAGCATACTAAAATATAGCTTAAATGATAAACAATGAACTTTAGGGAAGACATAATAACTCAGTCGGCTGGGCACTTTGTCATTACAGCGTGGTTTGGGCCTAAGCATAGATATAGCCTAGCCCATGTGATGAAGGCAGGACCACAAGCTCTGGCTTTAGGAAAGGACCGCTAGTTTCTCCTATGTACCACTATGCATGGAGACTGTCCCCAAGGCAGGACTCTCTGAGAAAGTGAACCAAATCAGAAACTTATGAAATGGAAACTTTCCAAAGATGGTGAGAGTCACAGTAAAAACCATAGTCCCCTTTTAGTAAAATGTTTAAGCATGTTCTTTTCTGCTGGAGTTTATGATCAAAGAAAAATGATACTGTTTTAATTGTATACTGTTCTCTGAAATGAAAGGACTGTAACACATAGGACTGGACAATCATCCAGTCTTCCCCACCTTGGTGCACAGGGAAACGGAAGGCTGGAGAGGAGCAGCGCAGCCCAGCGCCGGACGCTGCCTCCAGCCTCCTGGCTCAAGGCAGCAATGCCCACCACAGTGTCCCCTGTCCTGGCTTTCATCCTGACATTTCATGTGAGCTTTCTTTTGCACAAAGAAAGAAACTCGCATTTATAAGTGACAGCTATTTTTTTTTTTACTATGTAACTTTTTCTAAGTAAACAAACCATGTAACTGTATCTTAAAGTGTGTTCCTATGTGACAATTTTGTAAAGATTTGTTATGAATTTTTATTTCAAAATATCAATTCTAACAAAATTACCAACACGTTCAAGTGTCTTTTGTTGTTTCCGTTGTGCTACTAATCAAAGTTAAAATATTTTTAAACTAATAGCTTAAACTGGAAGGGCCAAAGAGGCTGCTACAGGACCCTGTAAGCACATAGTTTGAGATGGTAGCAAATTACCCAGTTGGATAAGCAGATGTCTGCTCTTCCTGGGCCCTCGAAGAAGGCCCTGTTCCCAAAATGACTGTGATGCCAGGAAGGATACTGGGTTTGCAGAAACCACAGTCCCTTAATATGAGCATCTTTTTGTTTGCTTTGTGAAAGTAACAGTAGAAAGGATATTGCTGAAATGGAACATTTTCCACCACATAAATTTTAAATATGACTAATGGGGGAGGAGAGGATAGAACTAGGGGATCTGCAAGAAACCATTGCACCGATGGCCACCTCTGGTGGTAGTGTGACAGGTAGAACGGTCCCTTTTTATTGTATGTACATAGAAAATGAATATAAGAAAGTGTGAACATGGTTGTTTTAAATTTCTTCCATTCTATAATGAATCAGTATTACTTTTAAGGTAGAAAAATAATTAAATTCTCCTGATTGGGAGGAAATAGGAGACTCCTGTTTCCAAGGAGTAGAGGGAGCGTGAATAACTTAAGACTCTTACAGCAATAGTTCTGTAATGTGTTGAAAAAATCAAGCCCATTCTAATGTCTGTGCTATATAAGAAGTGTTAGATATTAAAAATAAAAAGACCAATAGCTCAGTAGAAAAATAGACCAGGACATGAACAGGCAGTTCACAGAAAAAGACCAAGTGTCCCTTACACTCAGGTAAAGAGCTTAATCTCCATCATAGTAACAGAAATGCAAATTGAACCTGTAGGATGCGGCACTGTCTCCAGGTTGATAGTTCCAGAATTGAGCTGAATTGTAGGACACCCAGCTGGTGTCCAAGAACTGCTCGGTGGTATGGGAGGAAATGTTGAAATTGATGTCAGAATCTGAGTCCTTGATCTGGCATTTGGGAGGCGCTACTGGAGTCGTTACAATACAATTCTACTTGCCAATTGAAATAAATGTGTACTCTTAAAAATGTTCTTCCCTGAGAAGACTTGGGCAGTGAGAAGCAGCTTGGCTGGAAATGGCGTAGAATTGTCTCTTAACAGAAATGCTGTTACCAAGACTTTTCCTTGTGCCTCATTTCCATGTCATCATCAATGGCGATTTGCCAGAACTTTCCATAGAGAAAATGAAGAGTCCAATTTAAGTCTTGTCTTTTCAGGTTTATCTGACATTTAAGTTGATCCCGAGCAAGAGAGCAAGCTGAATATTGATGTGGGAGCCCACTGCATGGACAGATCAGAAATAATAGATACAGATTCAAATCAAAAGCAAGCATGTGGTGGTAGGAGTGGGGATGTCTGGCTCCCAGTCTCTGTTAGGCTACTCATAGTAGAGCGATCTTGGCGAAATTATGACTTTTTGTTCCCAAGTGTCCACATTTGTAAAGTCAAAGGATTTGTAAGGACTGTCAGTGCTAACATTGTGTATGAAAGTCATCACTTTGCACACGTCTAGAGACTTCACAGCTCTCCACCTTGTCGGGCTATAGTTTCTCAAACTTCAGCATGCATCTGATGACCATGTTAGAAATGAGAACTTTTAACAGGGCTCCCAGCTCAGATTCTGCTTCAGTAGGTAAAAGACAGGGCCCAGGAAACTTTGTGCGTAACACGCATTTCACATGATTCCCATGTTTTTATTCCCAGGATCTCACTCGGAGGACACTGCTTTGGG